CACATCCTCCACCTGGGGTGGCTGCCAGCCCTAGGAGCTCCCTGCTCTTCCCACACAGCTGTAGCTCCAGGGCCGATTTCTCCCTCTAGCGAGGCTCCAGACATGCTGCCCATCACCACGGTATCTGAGCCAGGGACTCCGCAACCCGCTTTGCCGGCTAGTTCTCCTGCCTGCCCTTCTTTCCATCCCACCTCAGGCGATGCCCCCAATTCTGCCGGTCCCTGCAGAGCCTGCCTAGCTTGCCTCCTGCAGCGATGTCATGTGGGGCAATTAATATTCCCTCTCTCCGCCTCTCTGTAGCAGTGATAAATGCTCCTCAGGGTTGGTCATGCCTGCAGCGGGGACAAGGTGGGCTCTGGAGGAGCGGGATAGGAGCCGGGCAGGCAAGGGAAGCAGAGCAGATGGATTTTAGGGGGGCTTGCACCCCAAGGGAGACACACTTTGCCATTTATGTCTCTTTGGACCAGTGCCCCGAGATGTGCAGCGCCGGTGGCAGGGCAGGGGGCGGGGAGGGGCGCCAGCCCTGGCCTGCCTCTGTATGGTGTTGCGGCAGGCACGGGGGGGCAAAATTCTGGCTGTCACCACCAGAGCGATCTTCCTGCGGTCATCACGACTGCCCACCTCTCCATCTCGCCAGCACAACACGAGCCCCTGGCAAGCCCTGCCAGCCCAGAGAGACCCTGCGTGTGTCACTCCCCCCGCTCCCTGCGCAGCCTACCTTCTGCTCCCCGCTGACACGCTCGCTCTGTGGGTCACCGTCATTGCTTTGGGGACAAACTGCTTTAATGCAGCCCTCGGCCCAGTGAGAGCCAGGGACCTGCACACCTTCCCCTCCCACCCCAACAAACCTGTGGCGTACCCCCAAAACAAGGTCCAGACACTCATGGAGCTGCTGTGCCACTCTGGAGGTCCCACTGAGCACTGTCCCGCTACAGGGGAGCAGGGGGTCCCATGGTGGCGTCATCAGGGTGTCCCAGTGTGGTGTATCCCAGTATAGGGTTTCCTACCGTGGGCTAGCTGCCAGCGGGGCCCACAGCAGAGCCCTTCCCATTACTAGGGGGTTAGATAGCCTCCAAAAAAGTGGCTCCAAAGGGGGGGAGTGCGGGAAGGCCTGTTCCTGGGATACACAGGGCTCAGGTGCGAGCCAGGCTCTCCTCAAGCTCAGGGATGAAGGCATTGATGTGGCCCTCTCTGCTTCTCACCCAGCTTCTAGCTGGAAGTCTCAATGTCTTGCTATTCAGCCAGCATTAACTCCCCCAAGGACACCAGAGGCATCCCAATGCCAGGGGAACGTTTGCTATGTTTTCACTTACGCAAATCTCTTATGCACAAGGTCAAGATAAAAGCATGGGCTCAGAATGTCATGTGCTGAGGGATACCAAAGCCTTGGTCTGAGCCTTGCGGATGTGTGAACCAAGGTTATCTCACCATGGCAGACAGTGAGAACACCACAGCTCCAAGCTGCTACCAAATCCACCCACTAGCAACATAAGAGGTTATCTACGACTTTGCGGCTTCTACCACTAACAGAAATGGAAAGTTACGGGCTGCAGAGCAATTACATCCAACCTGGACTCCAATCCATTGCCAATCAATACAGAAAGTAATGCTAAATGCTTCAGCAGTACAAGCGGGACAGGCAGCTGACAGCACACATGGGTCTAGGCCTGCTCGTGTTAGCCACCAATAACCCCTCACACCAAAGCCCTGTAACCTGAGAACGCACCCCTGCCTACCCTGATGGGTGGTGTAAAACTGCAGCCTCCACCGCAGGGCTCCCCCAGGGAGGGCTCCCCCAGCCCTTGTGAGGGACTCTCCTGCAACAGCCTCCTGGTCCCAGAGGGAACAGGGAGAAGCCAGTGGTAGCCAACATCTAACATGCAGTGTCAGTTAGCAAACTGCGCCTTGCACTGGGCTGTGGCTTGGGGGCAGTGGATGGGGTTTATACATCTGCGCTCATGGCACTATCTGTACCACTTGTAACACGTAGCCAACTTTGAATCCCCCACTCTGGCCACACTGGCACAGGTGATCTGCATCGCAGAGGCTTCAGAAGTTCCTACTCTCCTTTCCCCAGCTCTTTCTATTAAGACTAATTAACAGGAGCATCACAAGGATATTTACAGCTTGAACTGGGAGCAACTCTGCTGGGCTCCCGCTCATGGGCAACCCTTTGAAGAACCAGCCTTGACACTTCTTCCTCAAACTGCTTGGCAAGTTTTAGGTTCCTGTGCAGCTTCACTCTGAGTCTAGAGAGCTGGTTAGCATCAGTGATGGGAAAGAAGACACTTCTTCCACCTCTGCCTTGCCAGAAAGCACTGCCTCCCTCCTCCCAAAAGACTAGAGACATCTCCTACCTTTAGGCTGGTTTGGTACATGGAGCAACGGAAGGACCTGTCCTCCAGACAGCAGGCTGTCTCAGCACCTGGTATCCTGTATCTCATGCTGGTTCCCACTCTAGTTTATACCGCCCATTCAAATCTTCAGTCCTGTCCACCAGGCAAGACACCAGATCACAACCACACCTGCCTCCATGTCTGTGATCTCTCATGAGGGCTGGGAGGGAAAACTATTTCAACTCCCGGGGAGCAGAGAGTTGGGCTGCTGCCTGCTGGGGTCCTGGTGCGAGTCCCTACTCCTGCCAAGCCTTGTTTTGCACGCTCATTCCTGGAGCATCTGTTTCAGACCGCTGCTGGAGCCAGGGCACTTTGCTCGTTTGCTATTATGCAGCATGGTAGGTCTGCAAATCAACTGCAGCCCAAGGTGCTGTGGGAGAGAAATGAGGCCTGTAGGGGTCCAAGAGGAAAGACCTACAGATGCATTTTAGGCTGAGCAATAAAAAGAATACCCAAAGGAATAATTTCTAAATGAGGGAAGGTAGTTGCTTGGGACTCAGAGTGCGTGTGCGTGCGTGTGTGTGCGTTAAGAAGGCTAGATTAGCTTGTATAGTATTATGGAAGGAAAGTCCAAGCCACAGGGTCCCCAGGCCAGGCTATGCAGTTAGGGCTACAGCTGGATTTCCCTGTGCTCCTCTTCTCCGCAGAGCAGAGGGGTGCGTGGTGCTAGATAGGGCTGGAAGAGAGCAAGAGAAGATTAGAGGCCCTCAAAGACAGGCCCAGCAAAAATCCACAGGGCAGCATGGTTTCTTCATGTTTCGATTAAACCTTCCCCAGGTTAGGAAGGATGCCAGCAAGCCCAGAACATATCTGGGCAATTGCTGAGGGGAAACCCCTCCATGGCCTCTGTCACAGCCCAATGCTGCTCCAAAACCTGCGGGAGAAGAGGAGCACAGAACCGCAGTGCCTTTGGCACTGCCGCCGCTCCCTGCTACAGGAAAAAATCTCTGTAGGCTACTTCATTGCCATTCCTGTTGTTAGCTGGAATCTCCCATCTTCTCCTGCGACCCCTGCAGAGGTGGTGACATAATAAAATGGCATCCTGTAAAGTGTAAGTGAGATGCTGTCCCCTTTGGTTTCTCTAGGGTGCTCTATTTTGGACTTTTGCCTTGGCAGAGGAATAGGAAGCTGATTCTTCCTCCAGAAAGCAACGACCATTGCTGGATACTGCCACCCTTTGCTGCTTTGTGCTGCTCAGACATAACCAGCTTTGCTGCACAGATCTTGCCTGGCCTCTGTGCCACCATGCCCAGGCTTCAATGTTAGGCCTGTGCTAAGGAAAGGGAAGACCTAACTAAGCGCTTCTCTCCACAGGACAGCCTTGGGGTGATCCAGAAACCACAGGTACCCAGCACTGCAAACAGCCAGAGGTGACACAGAGCTTAGTCCCCACATGGTCACCCCAAGCTGAGCCAGTGAGGGCAGTACAGGTTGCACCCAGAAGTGACACTGGGTTTGGTCTTGACAGGTGAGGGAAAGGGAAGCTTCTCCTCCCTCCATCATTTCCCTGGGCCATGGTGGGAAAGCCTACAAGAAGGGTGAGGGATTCAGGAGGCTCTTGCATTGCACAAGAGGTTGCTGGGGCAGAGGGGAGATCCTGCAGGGCAGCAATGGAAACAGGAAGACTGAAGCCGGCGTGAATGAGACAACAGGTTATCTAAGAGCCACTGGCTCTGCAGCTGAGCTATAAGATGGGACATGACATCCAAACTGGACCTGACTGCACTTCAGAGGAATGTACCCTGGAAAAGAGGAAAAGATACAGCCTGTCAACCAGCTAAGACCTTGCTGGGAGGGGAAAGAGTCCAAGCAAGGCACTGTCTCAGCTTGGATATGGTCTTACATATGGTCAGGTTGGAAATGGTGGGGCTGAGCACCCCTAGCCTGCTCCACCAGAGATCTCTCCAAGGGGGATGGCTGTTCTGAGCCTGGGTGCAGCCAGGCTAGGAGCAATGTAGAGGCAGAGTCACTAGCAGGCTGAGCTCATCTCCACTCTTGATCTCCCTGCATAGACAAAGCCAAGAAGGTTCAGGAGGTCGAGCCAGGCCAGAGCAACATGTACAGGACTGTGGAACTCTCGTCTTCAAGAAATAGGAGGCTGCTGCTCAGACGGGGAGGGACGCAGCAGTAGCAGGGAGTCTTTGGCCTCTAGGATGAAAAGGCTCTTTAGCATCTACTACTACCGACTTCTCATAGGCCTCTCCCTGCAGGCACCACAGATGCTGGACTGTCCTGCAGTGGGAACTACCCCAGGACTGAAGTCTAGGGACTCCCTGCTTGCTAGGCTAGATGTAACTCCACAGTCCTTCAGCACCACCAAAGCTAATGAAGAAGAAAGGATGAGATGTGCTCTCACCTGCATGCTGACCGCTGTGTCATGGTGATTACTGGCCTGATCAGCCACTGGACAGGGCCAGGCCTGTCCTAACACACCAGGAACAGCTCATGCTTTATCCAGAATGGTCTTTACTACTGAAGATCCAGCACACCCAGTCCTGGCCCTTCTCCTCTTTCCCAAAGACATAGGTCAGGCTCTGGCCAGAGTTAGACTCAACACCCAGCCTTGGAGGTGCAGGTGGGCAACAGGTGACTTTGATCACTCACCTCATGTTGGAGGCCAAGGGAGTACCAAAGCTGTCCTCTGAGCAGCAAGGGCTGCGCCGGGCTCCCTTCCCTCGCCTCCCTCGCTCCTCCTCCCTCTCAGTCCACGGAGCATCTGTGGCTGAACTGGTCCCAGAGTCTGGCTCCAAGTGAGCCAGAGGAGCAAAGTTCTCCTCGATCAGCTTGGCGCTGTCTTGGATCTGTCCCTGTACTTCTGGGGTGAGGGTTGGGAGGTCGAAGGTGAAAATGGTCCCATGGGTGCGGGCTGGGGAGGAAAGGATGTCGATGGAGTCCAGGCTGGTGTAAGATGTGCCTTTGGCTCGATGGGACTCCATAATGCTCTCAAAATGCTTGCTGAAAGAGTCCATACCATCCCTGGAGAGGCTGTGCCCTAGGAGAAAGGGCACTGGAGACTTGAGCATACCCTGTGTGTCTCGATCCATGATCCTAGAGGAAAAGAAAGTGAGAAGAACTGGTCACTGAGGAGCAAGTGATCAAAGCCCAAAAACAAAAGCCCACGTGCTGCTCCAGAAGGAAACTGGGAAGGGCAGAAACCTCCTCTGAACATCTGTGGGACACTAGGCCTCCAAAGAAAAGCCCCGCCTGTCCAAGATACCATGGGAATAGGGACTGCATTGGACTCCCTCCAGACATATGCGTCTCCTTTAATGCGCCACAGACTTTTGTTCCTTTAGTGGCTCATCCTCATAAGAGGCTTATGAGATGGCTACTGCTTCCAGTCACTCGACTTGAGGTTAGATCCAATAAAGGGCTCAAGGGCCAAAAGCAGGACATGGTGCTTCAGCTCTGTTTTAGCCAAATCTGGAAGTGCCTGAATTTTCCATGTGCCTTCAGAGCTCCCCAGCACCCAGAGGCTCTTCCTGAAGCTGCTCAGAACAACATAGCACCTTTCTCCACGGATGTGCCACTGTGATCTCTCAGTGAAGTGCCCAGAGCGTGCCCAATACCCACCTGCAAGGTCTGCACAAAAACTAGGTGCTGACACCTGTTTTAAAGCAGGAGAAAAAAGCAGGGTGGCTGAGTGAGTAGAGCACCTGCAAAGGAATTAGGCTGAGATCAGCCAGGCTTACCTCCTAAGGGACTGCTTTAACCACTAGGCTATACCTTCCCTGACAAAACCTAACCACTGTGTGAAAAGTAACACGACAGATGATACCAGAGAGACAGTAGGATATCTTATCTTGAGAGCAAGGACCAAAACCCAGGGCTTTTCTCCTCATGGACACATCCTAACCACAACCTCTTTTGCTGCCCTGTGGCTCAGCTTCAGTAGGAAGCTGGGCAGAGATACACGCAGGGCAGCAGCACTTTCTGCTGGCTGGTCCCCAGGACCCTCTGGGACTCAGCGCAAGGCTATTCTGAGGTCCCAGGTTTTTCCAGGCAGTACGTAGGGAGCCTCACCCCCAGCTCTGGGCTTGGGGTCCTTGTCTGTTGACCCACGACCTAATGGCCAGGCTTAGCCCTGGCTAATCATCTTGTCACGTATCAACCCAGCAGTAAGGCCCAGATTGTCTGTAGCACAGGTCTGGGTCCAGGCCAAGACAAGAGTTTCTAAATCCTGAACCCCTGAGGACTTTGTCAGGTAAATGAGGTAAATTACCACCAGCCCATCAGTTTGAGCATGTGACAGTAAAGATATTTCCAACACAGAGAACATCAGTGCTTCATTCATATAAGCACAAATGCAACCATAAAAGCCAATTTTACTCATAAGCTGCTATCACCTTATTAAAGCACCGGAAAAGCACTTGTTATGCCACTGTCTTCTCTGATTAAAAGAGAAGAACTGATCCAGCTTGTCATAACATTTGTTATGAACAAACAGCTTCATATAGAGGGCTCAGAAAATGTATTGCCATCACAGGCACCAGACGACTTTCAATTAATTAGCCTTTGTATACTGCTCAAAAATCTCACTCCGATTATTTCACTAGGCTGTGAGCTGACAACTTTATTCCACCAGAAGGCCAGGTGGCTTCAAGGGGTGCTCAACTAAGCAAGAAGGAGGTACAAAGGGCAGGATGAAAGCTACTCCTGTCAATCCACTGATTTTTTCTCCAGGCTGTATAGTCCTGCTCTACGTTCCTACCCATTCCAGAGGTGGCTCTTTTCAGGCATGGACAAGAGAGGAGAGACCTCTCTAACATTTATAGATGAGTTTACAGATGCAACTGCTCATTCACTGTCCTTACCATCTAGCAACCTTCTACTAAATCAAGCTAATTCTGCCAACTTAATTTTGCATCTAGCATCCAACAGGAGGGCCATGGGCTGTAACAGAGAGGGTAGCACTAGCAGACAGAAGGCACCTTGTTCCCAGGAGAGTTTAAGGGAATTGGGCTGAATCTTGTGATCAGGTATGTCACCAAAGTGCAGAAAAAACATAGCTGGTTTTGTCTCCACCATCCGAGCTCTGGGAACAATTTCTCCACCCTGAAATACCAAGCCAGTTCTACACAAACCAGTTCAGATCCAGAAGGACCTAGTCACAACAGCACAGGCACAATGTTGCCTGACCGCACCACTCCTGCTCAGATCTAGCTTCCCATCCGCCCTGCGCTGCCCAACCTTCCCTGCCTCTGGTTGCTGCCCATCACCCTGTGTCCTGCTCCCAGGCCCCCAGGAAGGCTGCGTGTTCGCAGGAAAGATCGGTGCAGAGACGCATGGTTGCAAAACAAGGGAAATGCAGCTGGGAGGAGCAGATGAGGGGAGGAAATGCAGAGACTGTAATTAAGCATCTGCACAACAGCAATGGGCAGTGGAGTAAGAAATATGTTTCCAGCTTCTGTCACAGGAGCTGGTACAAGAGCCATAGTGATCCTTTCTTGGAAATGGGCCAGGTGGGTAAGTAGGGGAAGCGGACCCCCCTGGGGTCTGACACCACGCTGCATTACACGCGAACATCACAGCCACTGGTGCTGGGGGCCGAGGTTTACTCACGGGGTCTGAGCAACTGGAATTTAGCAGCCACGTCTCATGGCGAACAGAAGGGGAGGGATTCGCCCTGTTCTCTGCCTCGTGCTGCAGAGCAGCGCGGTCTCCGGCAGGAGGGGAGAAGAAGAGTACACTTCTCTGTTTAGGCCCTCTGGGGTTTCCTCTCTGCCAAATGCTCCAAGCCCATGATTATGCCCCTGCCATGCCCCGTTCCTCCTGCCCGCACAGGCATGGCAGGAGCTGCGCAGGCGTCCCAGTGCAGCCAGAGATGACAAGGCCATGCACCATCACCCAGCAGTCCTTCACTTTATTCCTCTCTGAACAAAGCTCGTCTGTGGACCAGCCCCAATGGCTCCTTGTACTCCCCAAGACTCCTTTGCCTGCAGCCCGTCTCCTCCAGTTTGCCTGTTGCCGAGGTTCGGTGTCACAACCACAACCTGTGCTCAGCCATAGGTACTAGGGGCAGGCACTACACCGTACCTCACCCGGGAGCCGTTTCCAGGTGCCCATGCTTGCCTGCCATTCTCATGCTGTGGTTGCTCATGCCCCAGTTTTCACCTATTAGCTGTACACCTCTCCCTCTGCCCATCAGCACGTGGTGTGTGCCCACATCACCTGGCGCATCCCCTTTCCACCCCAGTGAGCAGAGGCCGCCCAGACCTGCTGAAAGCAGGAGCATCGTCACACGGGGTGGCTGCCCTTCAGCGCTGAGCTGCAGCTTTACAGCCACGCTAGACTCTGGGACTGAGGCTCTGGCTCAGCACAACACGAGAGGCTTGTGGCTACCGAGGCAGGTTAAGCAGATGCTTAAGCGTTTGATTACATTGAGGCCTTAACCATTTTTTAATCCCCACCAAGGCTTGCCCTGCAGCTATTTTCTCCCCGGCTGCGTGGCTCTCGGAAAGGGCTCCCCAGGTAGCAGATTTTCCAAGGGTTTTCCTGGGCCAGGCTGCTCTGTTCGCTAGCGAGAAAAGACAGCTCTGCCTCCCGCCAGCCCTGCACCTCCCGGGGGACCTGGGGACCACTCTGCAAAGCCCTCCGCCGCCTTATCCGCCAGGCCACCGGCTCTGTCAGCCACGCCAGGCGCCACGTGGGTGCCGCTGGCAGGGGCTTGGGAGCCGCCG